GCATTAGAAGGCATTCTGGTTGTGTTACTATTGTGTAAAATAGTGATTTGATGCTGTCTTAAGGAGTGTGGATCTGTACTGAGCAGTGTCTCACAATTTATGCACATTAAGGTTCCAATATACCTACATGCCTATTACTTATCAGTTACTAAACTGCTTCTACGGTGGATAACTACAAATAAACCTATGTTAATATAGAAAGGGGAAATCCACAGCCCTGGCGGGTTTAACACTGGTGTGAGCGATCATCTGAAAAGAGATTATCATGGTGCTGAAGGTTCTATGACCAATGTCATTAATTGAAATGGAAATATCTAACAAAGCAATGTAGGCCCTGTTGCTTTACTGGGTTCCTGGTTCATAGAATCCACTGCCTCCTAGACGTTCCCATCTCAATGCTTCACACTCAATACATCTGAACATTCAACTCATACTCAACTCCCGTTCTCTGTGATTTCCCAATTTCTCAGCCTCTATGCATGGATTCATTATCTATCAGGACTTCCAGGCAGACGTTTGTGCCTTGAAATGGCATTTTGTTTCCCCTGTTTGCTCCCTACAATTCTCTGCCAGATCTCCTCTAGATTAGCCTCCCAGTCTCTTGTCCAACATCCTCCTTAATCTTGTTTCATTTCATCGGTAACAGTCACCCATCTCCTTATTTCCACTGACACCCAACAATGAAAGTGTCATTAACCATCAACCACTTCCTGGTTCCTTAAGATTTGGCAGCAAGTCCTTTCGGCTAGAAGAAGGCCCAGAGTTGTGCTTGGGTTAATGGAGTTCTCCCTGAACTGTAGAACACCCCTTCTCTTCCTGTTGCCTTGGCCTCTAGTGCTCTCTAGAACTTGAAGCTTAATGTTACTTCTGCAATACCTCCCTCACGTGATCTCTTCTGTTTGGGGATTTTTGTTGGTCTCCTCCTCCTAGAATTAAAAGCCAAACTCAGTCTTGAAAACACATCCTTTATTCTGTGTAGATCTCCCCTTTCTTCTAAGACTCTGTCTCACATTGCTTATTCTCTTCCACACTCTCTTCTACTAATTTTCTTTTAGATACTTAAAAGAAGATATTGAGTCCAGCCCCTTCTCATCCCTCAAAATTTAAAGAGCACAGCACAAATTACGTATCATGGCTCAAATACAAAGAAGGGGGAGATGTTATAGGTACCAATGTATTTTTTCATGCTTAAAAAACAAACACGAGGGATTAACTTGAATAACTGAATGAAACACCTCATGTGTGCTGACTCGTCAGTAGCAGTGAAATTACAGGAGGACAAACAAGACATTCTAAAGGTCCCAAACTGTAAGTCGGGCCTCTTGTCAATGAAAAGCTGAATACAGTTAGCAAGGGTTCTTGGAGTCTAGGTCTGCCCTGGAAAAACTCACCCAAAAGTGTATACTTGGATTACGGGCATCCCACCCCGTGACAGTCCCCACATGGCTTCCAAAGCAAGCTGCTGGGATTGTTAGGAGTGAAAGGCCTTCTGGGTATACACATTTCACAGACGACCAGTCAAGAGGGCCAGACCTGTGACAGAGACAGAACCTTTAGAGATTAAGATACCAAGCCCAATACTTTGTTTTTGTTTTGTGAAAAGTTATGGATTATGAGGCTAAGTACACAAAGCCAGATGCAGCTGTTCAGGCTGTTGGCGCTACCCCCTGATGTCAGAGAGTGTCATGCTGCAGCACTATGACTGTGAACACAGCAGACACTCAGCGTACAGGACTCCTGTACACATGGAAGGGCTGGTCAGCACTGTCTAACTAGTGGTGTTAAGAACCTCACATCTTTAGAAGCAATAACAGAAATCATTAAGATCCCCCTTTAATCTCATAATGCCTGGCACATCTAACTCAGGCAATAAACATTTGCAGAATCTAGAAAAGAGATCCCTGAAGCCTGCAGTTTCAATGGGACTTTTAACTCAGACCTGGAATGAAAACATAGGCTTCCTGGCTACCAAGCCAGGCCGGGGCTTCTGAAGACCCAGTTCTCTGAGAAAGAAAGAAGGCTGGTGGCCTTCACTTGAGAAGCCATTTGATTCCCATGTCTGTTTCTCTTTAACACCACTCTTCCACCGTGCCTTTTGGATGCCAGTGTCTTCACAAACAACACCTGGACAGGCTGATGTCTACAAGGTTCTCTGTTTGAGTGTCTTCTCATTTGCTCTGCATACAGGATCTTGTCCAGAAAAGTGCCTTCTCTGCCATAGTATGGGAGGAGCTTGCTTAGAAAAGCCAAACCAATCCTGTCCAGAGGTAGTGACTGCAGTGCCCCCATTAAAGGTAACCCAGGAGACCACAGCATCCCAGAAAAGGAGAGAAGGCCACTGAACAAGCAAACTTCAGACAGGAACTCATCCTCGCCAAACTGTTTCCTGGTCCCTCTTCTTCTAGGATCAAACCTGAGTCATTTACACACCTAACCTAGTTCGGACCTCCTACAATGAGGGGGTGGAGTTTGGAGGTGGAAGGAACTTGAATCTTGGCATTGCTGCTTACTAGCTGTGGGAGGAAATCACTATGCTTCTCTGCATGGTGCACAGGTTCTCCCAAACAGATGATGAGAGTTGCCAATCGTCACGTGATGTGAGGATTGACAACACACTTAGAGCAGAGTCCAAAAGTCTTCTGCTGTGAGTACAAGTGATAATGGTACCATAGATCGGAAGGAGGGGTACGTCCCAATTTCACTTAAGGGAGCCAGTCCCGAACAGAACCAACAAATAGAGCAAACAAATCCTTTATCAGCACGTTGTGGAAGGACCGTCTCAAGTTTTCAGTAACCTGCCCTTTAGAACTTAAGCCTTTTTATGTTACTTTAACAGATGAACATTTTGTTTGTTAGTTTTACTACTATACTCAGGAAGCATTTGGTTTTAAATGAGCACCGTACAGACAGGCGAATAAAGTGCTATTTCTGTTTTTATCTGCAACGAAATCTGCAGCTGCTAAGAGTGTTCAAAACAGGACAGTGAAAGAGCTGGGTGCAGGAATGAAGTGAGAAGGTTACATGCTGGCAGCAGGGATGGGGTGGGAGGATGGGGGAGTGGGGTGGGGGGCAGGGGGCGGGGTCGGGCTCTAAGAGGGCAATTGAAAATTAGAAGACTGAGTCCCTCCTGTGGCCAGGGACAGATGCCACCTAACTGAGAGGGCCCTAGACTTAGCTGTGCACAGTTACTGGCTTTTACAGCCGGGGGGGGGGGGGGGGGGGGCTTTCTGCTAAGGTCGGTGGGAGAAAAGCTTTATGCTGATCCGTCCGTGAAAAAAGCTAACCCTGCATTATTGACGTCACCCCTATTTTTTTTTTTTCCTGCACTGCAAGACTGCCCAGACTCCTGATAGCCCTAAACAGCGCTGAGGATTAGCATGTAGGCTTCCTGGAGATGTTACCCGTCTTCCCTTTATGGTAGTGAGTCTCAAACCAAACACTCCAAAAAAGTTTTTAAAACTAATTCTCACGACGGGCCAGCGCAATCTGAACATACCGAGTGGGAGCTGCACCGCTGGAGGAGGGGGTGTAGTTTGTTTGGCTTGATGATTTTTAATGCCAAATGATTTCATTGTGTAGTTAAGTTTGGGAAACTGAGTCTTACACCCCCTCCAACGAAAGCGCGCTCAGCACCAACCTCTGACTCCAACTGGGATGCCAATGACATCAACAGCAAGTGCAGACCTGACTTTTGGAACCCGAGCGGCTGGATTTTGAAATTGTGCAATTAAACCTTCCGAGGCATGTTTCTCATGTCAAGTGGGTTTATGGTCGGGTAGTCATGAAGCCAGACTTGTTCATGCTCCGTCTGGACAGTTGGCGCATGTGATCCAAGGACATCAATCCGTTTCTTTTTAATTACGGGTTATATTTTGGTTGGCCCAATATCAATCACTTCATAAGGGCAAAAAGAAAAAAAAATTTAAAAGAAAATTCCCAAGAGGGAAAGTCTCAGATAACAAGGAGAAAGTTTGCTATGGGCCTCGTTTTGAAACACCAAGGGTGAAGTACTCACAGGGACCCAGCTGTCACAAGGCCCTCAGCCATAGAGTTGCGAAGCCAAGAGATGCTACCAAAGACCTCGCTGCTGGGAAAAGGCAAGCTTTGAGGATCCCAGGGTAGCAGTCACCCAGGAGACTAGCTCCAGTCTGGCAGGGAGCCCTGGTCCCTAACTAGTGCACCTAGCCTGGCAGGTCCTTGATGTACTGTATGTACTCTGTGGTCAAGAGGCGGGTCCGACCCCCCCTTCCCCGCCCCGCCCCCCCTCCGCGCCCTCTTTTCTGCTAGCCAAGAAGCTAATCGTCACCAACACACCATCCTTTCCTAGGGGTTCCAGGTGGTTAATGACAGAACGTCGCCCACACTTCCAGATCATTGCTGCAGCTCCACACCCGCGAAAGGGCAAGCAGGACTCTGTGAGACCCTTTGCGACTCAAGCCACCAGGTCCTGAGAGAACCCGGGCTGAGGAAAGAGGTGCGGGAGGGTTCTCTTAGGGACCCGCCTGTCTCAGAGTTCCCAACCTTGCCCAGGGGCGCACTGGTTTTTCCTTCAAGTCCTTAAACTCTGGGACTGTGCGGGTGGGACCTGCCCGCCCCGCGGACGGACCCGGGGTCTCTCTAGCTCGCTCTGACAGTCCTGGGCGCACGTGTGCGCCAATGCCAATCCTCGCTCCGCACCACGTTTCCTCTCCCGAACGCCTACTGAGCGCGGAAAAGTGAAGCAACTAAGTTGGGAGCGGTCGGGAACCCCGGAGCGCACAGCCGCGGTTCCCACGCTGCGCTGGCACCCCCTCTGCCCCCAGCCCGGTCTCCCTTGCTTCGGCCGCCTTAGTCTAGCCCATTCCAGACGCGAAACGTCCAGTCCCTCCCACGGTCCCAGCCGATCCCTTGCGAGACAGGAGAGGAGGGGCAAGCGGCAGGGGACACAGAGTCCGACACAGACAACTGGGGCTAGGCGAACGCTCCCCGCTGGGGGCACGGGCCAGCGGACACGCCCTTACCTTTCTTTTCCTCCAGGGCCCCACCTGCGGCGCAGAGCGCGGCCAGTAGCAACAGCAGCGCGGTTCCCGTAGTCCCCGAGGGTCGCATCTCTGCCCAGGAGAGGCTGCCTTCGGGCTCTCCGGGATTAATCCGGTTCAGACGGAGTCCCACGGGCTGCGCGGCGACTGCGTCGGCAGCGACGCGACCTGGAACTCAGGCGCCCGTCCAGGTGAACTGTCGTCGGCCTGGGAGGCGGTGGCCTCCGGGACACACTGCAGGCGCCCTGGCCAGCCCGGGGGCTAACGCACTGTGAAGGAAGCGGAGGAAGGCTACTGCTCGCAGCTTTGGGGCTGCCCAGACGTCTAGCTCGCGCGGTTCGGGACGATGGGAGGCTGGGCTGGAGGAGGAGGGACTAGTGAGAGGAGGAGGGATCGGGAGGAGCGAGGAGGAGGAGAATGGCAGGAGAGAGGAAGCACTCGCCCCGAGGATCGAAAGCAGGCAGTGACCGGAAGGTGGTGGTGGATAGCCTTGGCCGCCACCCGACCGGGCTCTGGGACGAGTCCAGGCTGCGGGTTGCAGGGCAGCCGGGGGCCTTTGGGGTTAATTTTTGTGTGGGGACTCCCTCCCGCTGCGGTTCAGAATCTAGGCAGTTCAGCCAAAACTGTGTTAGGCTCCCCTCCCTCCCTCTGTCTGTCCCACCTTTTTCCTTCCTTCCTTCCTTCCTTCCTTCCTTTCTTTCTTTCTTTCTTTCTTTCTTCCAATTTACTGAGCCACCTCGGGTACAAGCTGACTGGACCCTGGAGCCCTGGTTGGGAACTGACTCAGAGGGAGACACTACCCCCCTCATTTCCCCATAAGTCCTCCCGGAGAGCGGGATCTTAGCCGGGTCAGGCTGGCTTGGCAGCAGAGTTCCCAACCAGGCAGGCTGAGACCGGGCTTCCAGATGTCTGAAGTGGCACTCAGAAGTGTCCTTCAGATCCCGTCAAGAACCCTCCACATCCTCTGAAAGGAGGGCGGCCAACTCCCAGCATGGAGGAGGGCAAATGTTTGCTGAGGGAATGCACGCGTGTTGAGGAACGAAAACATGGAGTTTTGGACACCAGGAATCAGTCAGGAGTGCTTGGAAAGCAAAGCAGTGTACAAGAGGAGGCGAATTCCTTCGCAAAGGCGAAGACTTGACACCAACAACAATTTTCGTATCTTTAGAGCAGTTAGCAGGGACTCGAGCTAGCCATGCCGGATACCAGCAGGCAAATTGTCAGGTATAAGTTCTCCTAGAATTTGGCCAGTTGAAATGATGCTTCCCTGAACTGCAGGACTGTCAACTAAATTCTTTCAGCAAAGACCCACTAATATTCCCTGCTTCTTCTCTATCGGAGAAATGTCCCCTCTTCCCATTTTGCAGCCAGAGTCCCTCTGTTCTTCGCAAAATCCCTTGGTTCCCCAATTTAGGCTCTTTTAGGCCTCCTATTAAAAGCAGTCACTGCTAACCAGTAACTTCAGGCCACCTTTGTGTGTGTGTGTGTGTGTGTGTGTGTGTGTGTGTGTGTGTGTGTGCAGCGAGAAGGGACCCACTCCCAACCTTCTTTCCCACCCAGCAGAGAAAGGGCTGCTGCCCAAGGTTTGCAGCTGGCATGCTGAATGGGTCCATTTCACCCAGGCTGTGCAAGGCCCCTCTGCAGACCCTGAAACCCTCATTGTGAAGTAGTGCAGGACATCTTAAACTTTTCCCACCGGCAACCGTTTTTTCATAGTTTTTAATGTGCCCTTGGGTAGGGATTTATAGAAAATAGGCGTGCAAACTAAATGTCTACTAATAGTAAATCATAATGTAACGTTAAGATAATTCTTTGACATGCATATAACTTTAGCACTTGTTAAAAGTGAAAGCAAATTTGCATGCAAATGAGATGGAGTTGTTTATTATTACACAAAAACTAGATCTTGAATGAATTCTCGATGCTGCAGGACATTGAGCATCTGCAACCTTGCTCAGAGTTAATTTAATATTTTGGTTAACATCCTCAGTGCATAAAATGGAAAAAAGTATATTTAGGGCCGTTTTGGAAATTCCATCCAAATCCCAAGCTTAAATTCTTCTAACATCTTTTAAATAAAATTCAAGACATTGGTTTTAAAAATCAAACATTCGAATACAGTACAGCCCAAATACATTGATTTGAAGCTCATATGCTAAGGAATGATGGTGAAAGAATATTGAAAGTTTTTGTTTTCTGTGTTATAATATTATTCGTCTACAAGAGCAGACAGCTGTGAAGTAAAACTGCTGCCATCCATACTTCCCAGTAGCTTTGCATCTGAACTGAGTTTTGAGGTAGCACTTCTTGGTGCCCCGTGCTGTAACAGCCGTGCACAGAGCAAGGGGAGCATGAAGTGTGTATAGAAGCAAGACCGCGGTGAAGTGTCGTGGTGCACCCTGGAGAAACATTGCCAGAAACACCTTGCAGTCACTGTGTGTTTTGAGTTTTTGGATTAAATTTTGGTCATCGCAACTCAGAAGCCCTTTACTCTTGCCAAACATTTTATCCCTTCCTCCCAGGGACACACACTGGGGGGAGGGGGGCAACTCATGTGTTTGTTTTCTGCTACATGTTCCAATAACTTGGGTCAGTTTGTAAAGCAATGCAATTAATGGGGGAAATGAGAGGAAAGCAAAAAAGAAACTGGAGCACAGGATAAAGACAGGAATGAATTTAAAAAAAATTTGCAGACAGATTTTAAAAGAATCTATTTCTTCGCTTATAGAGGGCCACAAATCTGGCTTGAAATCAAATTTTCTATCAAGAAATATAATTAGTTGCACAAGTCATAATGTGCAGGCAATAAAACAGAAACAGTAGCTGAAACAGATTTTTAAGAAATTGTAGAAATTTCTCCCACGCATCCCTAAAGGAGGATTGTCTCCAACGACTTCAGGATTCTCTACATGTTAGCTCCATGAAGCAACAACCTTCATAAAGCTGCTGGTTAGAATGTCCACAGTGTGACCTGATTACCATCCAGCCCCTAGGAACAAAAGCTTCCTTGAGACCATCAAGAAGGGGGCAGTGGCCCTTTAAAGTTACAGAGCACAAAACTAGGAGAGCTTCTAACATAGAGTTTCCCTTTAGGACACTTACATACAGTGTGGACTCTTCCAGAGAACCCCCTTAGGACACATACACGCACCCTGGAAACATCTGAGCTGTAATTATGAAGAGTAACATTATGATGAATTTTTATTGGTTGGCAAGTCCTGGAATTATTGATGCTTATGTTAACTAAAGGTGGTCTGGGTGGACTGGCAGAAATGCCATTTGGAAAGAACAGAGGAGCCTTGCACAGCCAGAGCTTTGCCCAAAGTCTCTGAGAGTAATCCAAGACATTACCCAGGTGACGTCCTCTCTGTTACCACATCATCCAAAAATGGCAACAGCCTTTCAGACTGTGCAGAACTCGAAAGAAATGTCAGCATATCTGATGACCCTTATGCTAGCTTACAGTTTGGTTTTCCTCTTTCAATGTCAAGATGACACTGTGGCTCAGAGACGATAAAGAACTCTCCAAGTCCCGAAGTGCAATTGCTATTATGTGCAAACTGTTATCCAAGTATGTTCTTTATTGCTTCTTCTAAACCTGAACTGAATAATGGCATCAAGACCCCAGATTCTATTTCATCATATCTCCACAAGTTTTTAGAACAAATGCAACCAAAATTTCTCTTTGTCCAAGAAAAAAAATTCTGAATAAAGTCTAGACATGACATAGCAAGCACATGCTAGGAACAGTTTCCACAACAAACCTTTCCAGGGTGCCCATCTTTACATTACAGGCTGTTCATTCTCTGCCAGATACACTAGATAAGCAGGTTTTTGTTTTTGTTTTGTTTTGTTTGTTTGTTTGTTTTTATGAGTGGCTAAAACAGAAGCTCTTGAATGTGTGTGTTGGATAGGAGTTTAATCTTCCTAAGAGTAACACGGAATTGAATTCCCCTAATTCACATATTTCATCAGAGGAAAGACAGGTTAGGTGAAGACAGACAACAAGGTGAAGATATAAGGGTTTCCAATATTTTTGCTCTCCTTATTTGGGGGATTTTTTTATTAGTTGAGAATTTTGTACAGTGTGTTTAAATTGTGTTCACCTTCTGCCTCCACTCCTTACAGATCCAACCCTCATTTCCCACACCACCCAACTTTGTGTCCTTCTAGTTTTTGATTTTTTTCAAGTACGATTTGTGCTAGCCATTTACTCTTGGATGCACGGCCTTCACTGGAGGACAGTCAACCCACCAGGGTTTTGTCCTAAAAGAAAATGTACTCCTCCTGGCCCAGAAGCTATGGATTGCAATAGTTCCTCCCCTAGGGGTGAGACTTTGTGCCGACTTCCCTGGTCCAGGCTAGAATGTTGTCTGCATTGAGTATATGCTGGTCTTGTACACCCGGCTCCTATTGCCATGAGTTCACATAAGCAGCTGCCCTGCTGGGTCCAGATGACACTGCTTCCTTCTAGCCATCCGTGCTCTCTGGCTCTTAAAATCTTTCTACCTCTTCTGCAGTGGTCCGAGCCTGGGCTTCTAATATTTTAAGTAAGATCTTGGATGAAAGGCATTTGGCCTCCTGATTTCTTTCTTTTTTCCCTTTTTCTAGTCTTAGAAGCAAAAGTGAGGGGTTCACAAAATGCTGACAGCTCTTCAAAATCCCTCTGTGTACCCACACATAATTGGACTCCTTAAATTTCCAGAGGGAACTGGTTATTATAAAATCATTTGCAAATAAAAACCACTTTGAGATTCCATCTCATTCAGTCAGAGTAGCTATTATCAAGAAGAAAATGCTAATAAGAATATGGAAGAAGAGGAATCCGTATTCATGCATGGTTGGTGGGAGTGTGAACTGGTTTAGAAACTGTAGACATCAGTACAAAATTTTCTTAAAATTCTAAAATTACAATCATTCTATGATCCAGCTATAACACTGGTGGCCTAAACCCGAAGATTCTACAACCTACACAGAGATCCCAGTACATCCATGCTTGTTGCTGCTCTTTCACAACAGTAAAGAAATGGAATTGCCTTCGGTCTCCGTAAGTTAACACACAGCCCCTGAAAGTGTGGGTATGAGCCCAGTGGGATTTTATTGTCTTAAGAAAAAGGAAACTGAGAAAATTTCAAGAAAATGGGTGGATCTGGAAGGTGCATTAATTGAGGTGATGCAGGCTTAGGAAGGCAAACACCATGTGCTCCTTTGCAGGTGTAGATCCTGACTATGGTGGCTGCTATTGTCACCCTGACAGAATCTGGAATCTCCTTGGAGAGGAGCCTCTGAGGAGCAGGTGCGGGATTATCTCCATTTGCTTAGCCTCTGGGCATGGCTGTTGGAATTTATCTCGACCAGCTGAACGGAGTAGGGCAATCTGGTCATGGAGGGCA